CCGGGTCCTGAGAGGGGGCGGGGGGGTTTGTTCGCCCCCCGCCCACAACCCAGGACACTTTTCGCTGAAGGGGGGCAAAGCCGGCATAGCTTTAAAAAATAAATAAAATAAAATATAAAAAATGAAAAATAAAAAATGAGGAGCCCACAGCCCAGACGAGGCTGGAGCGAGAGCCACGGAGGCAAAAGGCGAAGAGGGGTGGGGTGGGGTGTTCCAAGAGGCTCCCTTCCCTTTTGGCCCTCTGCAAGCCAGGTCCGCAGTGGCAAGAGGCTCAGCTCCGCTTCTATCCCCCCCTCTGCTTATTTTTTTTTATTTTTCATTTTTTATATTTTATTTTATTTATTTTTTAAAGCTATGCCGGCTTGGCCTCCATTCAGCGAAACGTGTCCTGGTTTGTGGCCGGGCGGCAAACATACCGCCCGGCCACATATCAGGACCCGTTTCACTGAATGGCGGCCGAGCCGGATTACACCCCGGAGCACCCAAGCCCCAGAGAAGGACCCCATCCTTGTGGGAATGGTTTCCGCCGGACCTGCGGCTTGCCAAGGACTGGAAGGCTCACGTACTGCAGAGGGCGGCAGAGATGAGGGTGGGTGACAAGAAGGGGCAAGTGCGGCGGAGCAGAATAGAAAGCATCTCCAGAGCCTGAGACTTCCCGCCCTTCCACCTGTGGAGCCGCTCCAGCCATATCGCAGGGAAATGGGCGGCTGCACCTGTGGGTGGCAGCTGCTGCTCCCGGCTCTGCTGTTCCTCGGCGGCGCCCAGGGTCAGCTTTGAGGTTAGCACTCCATTCTGACGAGGCTACAGGGAATCTCGAAGGGTTGAGTGGCGACGGGCGAGCCCTTTGCCCTGGTCACCTAATCTGTGAGGATGGGTCGGCGTCTTGAGGACCGCAGTCCGGGAATTCCTCTCCTTGATCCCCCCTCCTGGGCCCTTAAGTCGGACACCTGCATGCCTGGTTCGTCCGGACGTGCAAGGCGAGGGCATGGGGAAACGGAGCTAAAGGGGAGAGAGGTCAGCATGCCCAGGCCAGCGGGGCATGATGTTGCGGCAGCGGAGGAGAAACACCTTCGATTTCTTTGCGTGGTTTTTTCCCCCAGCTCGGTCGGGGAAGGTGGAAAAGCTCCATGGAGTCCTTGCTCCGCCGGTAGCACGTCGGGTTGCAATTGTGGATTTCCACATGCCTTTCTCTGTAGAAAGTCAGACACTGACTTTCAGTGGCCCGAGTCTTTTGGAAAGTCCTGCGGCGGAGGCAGAGGAGGCAGGGGGGCGAGGCGGCAGAGCGCAGCAGCGGCGAAAAGCAACACCCGCTGTGTCCGACAGGCATCTCACGTTTATGTCCGCCCTAAACACGAGATGCCTGTCGGACACAGTGGCAGGGACGTTGCTTCTCGCCGCTGCTGCGCTCTTGCCTCACCAACGGTAACCCTCACCGCACGTCACTGGTAAGCGTGCTCAACTGCAACAACAAGGCATGATTTGCTGCTCCCAAATCAGAAGGCAGGAGAATCAGTGCCTCCTTTACATATGAAATTTTTTGCTTTTAAACTCTTTCTTAACTTTTAAAAGGCGAAAAATTCCTTATGTAAAGGAGGCCCTGAGTTCTCTCGCCTCCTGCTTTCGTTAACACTAAGCAAACACCAAGCCACTGTGACTTGGAATCCGGTAGCAACTATCCTGGCTTTAATTATTTTTAAAAAATTCTTTACAATTCTTTCCTTTCCCTCAGGAGACTGGTGAGGCCCCGCCTCCCTTGCCTCTAGTGACTGCACGTCCCTGCTCGAGAGGGTGTCACAGAGAAGGGGGGATTTTGACTTATTCTCCAAAGCATCTGAGAGTAGCTCAAGAAGCAATGGGTGGAATCTGATCAAGGAAAGATCCCAGCTAGAACTATGGAGAAATGTCCTGTCAGTGAGAACACTTAATCAGCATTTTCCTAATCACTTAATAACAAAGCTGCACCTTAAGGTGTCATTGAAGAAAGGCTTAAACTCCCACTGCAGTTAGGAAGCTTATTTGGGGAGTGGTCAAAAAGAGGCCCCCAAGCCCTTCTCCATTCCAGGTGAGAGCTGGGCATTGCAGAAGAGGAGCAGAGAATGCAGGTTCCAGGGGTCCTTCTGAAATCTCTCTTCCACGTTCGGCTTCTCCATAGGACCGGAAACATCACTGTCGAGTAACCAGAGTGCAATTTTGTATGTGGAGACTTGCATCTAAGTGGAGCAGACAAAAATAGTCTCTGGTGGGAGTCCAAGCAGTGCCTGGTTTGAATAGGAGCTTGTTAGCCTTGTGTGCAAAACCTTTTGCTGCTCAGCTTCCGCTCAATAAAAGAGCAAATGTGAATATAATTGACTTCCTTGATAAGGAAGTCAACATGCCTAACCTCTTTTATTATCTGGTTAGCAAACTTCATTTCTCCCATCTCCAGAGTAGCACAAGTTGGGCTTTTCCAGAGAAAACTATTATCAGGCTCTGCTCACAATATACACAGGACCACAAATCAGCCCCAATCATATTTGAGCCTCCCGTGTGGAGTTCTCACTTCTTGTGATGAGCAGTTCAGGATAGGAACATTCCCAGTTTTCTGGGTTGAGAAAAATCAGGTTAAGCCAGTAACACTGGGGAAGAGGGGCTGAAGAAAACCAGAGAGCAGGCAAGGGGGTCTTGAGTGAAAGCTCTGACCCATGGAAAGGCAGACTGTGCAGCAATTGGCCAGGGAGAAATGGCCAATTGGGCAAGGCTGCCTTTTATGCTCTTGAGTGCAACAGGTAGTAATGGGGGGAGGTGGGCTGCATCCAAAGCTTGGCTGGCTGTGTGTGAAAGTGGCCTGGAGCCAACTGTGACAACCCCCCCTCCCAACTCAGATAGTCCTTTTTTAGCTTTGCCACCACATTGGGTGACTCTCCTGTGCCCCTGGAGGGTCCCATCCATGTTTGCACCACCTGGCAAATCAAGGGATTAGTTTTGGGGGGCAGGTGAGGGCAAAGGGTAAAAGCAGCCTCGTTGCTGACACAAGCGGTGGGTTGGCTGGTTGCCAGAGAAGCCTGGGGGGGGGGGCTTTGGGAGTCTTATGCCCTGCCCCTCCCCCCTCCTCCCATGGCACTTGCAGGCCAATCCAGTAGCAGCTGGGCCTGGGGTGGGGGTCAGGCAGAACGCTGGGCCCAGGGGCCTCAACAGCCTCTTCCTCCCCAGGGGGAGAATCTTGGCACACACACAGCCTCCCCAACTCCCTCCTCCTCCCTCCTGAGTTCCGAGGGAAGAAAAATCTGCTCCCCACAGCAGCCCCCCCTTGCCAACTGGGACCATGAGCCCTCCAGCCAGTGGGGCTGATGCCACTGACCCCCAACTCTGCCCCCCCCCCAAGCCTCTAACCTCCTGCTGGCTTCAAGGGAAAGTTTCCCCTGAGGTCTTCCAGAGAGAGAGAAGCCACCGGTGGGGAAAGCAGCAGAAAGACTCGGGGATCAGCAGCTCTGATGGGACCAAATGGCCCAGGGGCCAAAGGGGCCTCACTGGGAAATCCAGCAGGCCAGACAGGCTGTGGATTATGGTCCAAACAGTGTTAGTTGCTCCATTGGGGTCGCCATCTTGACTTTTCTGATTGTGCTTGCTTTATCCTTAGCACACACTTACTTTGCTCCTTTAATTGGCTGGAGGCCAAACACCTGGCAGGCTGCTGATTTCAAGCAGGGGGGGCAGTGGGGGGGGGCAGCTTCAGTTCAGCCAAGATAATTGTGATGGATGCAGGGAGGGGCTGCAGCAGCTCCCAGCATTCCAGCAATGGCTTCAAGGTGAAATTAAGTCCAGAGGAGCCTTAAAGGCCCAACTCTGGGAATGGCCTCTGCTGGGGAGCTTGCAGGCCACTTGGCCCCCTCCCTTCCTCTTCCATCCCTTCCCCCTTAAGAAGCTCAAGGCAGCCGCAGCTGGGAGCCCTTTTCCCCCCACCTGTGCCTGGCTCCCATGATGAAGGGCTCTGCTTTGCAATATAGGGCAAGCATGGCCCAGGAAGCCTCTGGCGAGGACTCCCAGCAGCTGCCTCGCCTCTTCCTGGCCCCTCCAGCTGAAGCCCTGGGTGAGATCCTAAACAAGCAGTTTGGCCCGCTGCCTTTCATGGCTCCCATTACACGGATGAAGAGGAAGCCATCGGGCTACTATTACTCCACTGAGAACCGAGAGCAGGTCCTGGGCCGGAGACGGGCAGCTAATGCCAAAGAGCGAGAGAGGGTAAGCAGGCGTGGGGAAGGGCCTCACTGGCTCCCCTGGCCCACCTTCCTCCCAAGAAGAGGCCCTGGGTCAGGCCTCAAGACCCTTCTGTTCTCTGCTTGCAACTGGTTGATGGGGCTGAGGGTTGTCTAGGCAGGCAGAAAGCAGATGCAAACTTGCCATGTGTCCCAGCACTCCCCAACCTGGCCTTTTCCAGATGTGTTGGGATGGCAAGCTGGCTGGCTGAGAAAGGCTGAGAATTGCAATCCCTACCCATCTGGAGCCTCCAAGGAGAGAGAAGGCTGAGTTTGAAATCCCTGCTCCCATCCCATGGGAAGAAAATCCCCAGCCCACCCCCACAGGTCCAGGCCAGCTGAACCCCTAGGAGGAGCCATGTCTGTAATCTGCCTCTGTTGCGCTGGAAAGAAAGAAGAATTGAAAGATTCAATGTGCTGCTCTTCCACACTTGCCCCCAAGGGTCAGGGTTGCCTTCTCCAAACACTGGTGCTTATCTGGCAACTGTGGCCCTAATGGAGGCAGAAGCTGTGTGGTAGGAGGGAAATGGCCATGTGTGTAATTGCATGGGGAGGCTCTTCAAAAAGCACCATGAATGCCTAGATTGTCCATCCTCTGAAAGTTCCTCAATAAATGATTTCTTCATTATGCCTCCAAAAACAGGCATTGCATTTGCACAAGGTGGGTACAATTTTCCCCCAAGTTCTTAATTCTCAAGAGCTGGGAAGAGATGGTCCTCCTGGAGGCTTGGAGAAGTCTTTCTTAAAGTTGGCCCCCAAGAACCTCTGAGTGGCCCTCCAAATCAAAATAATTTGTTAGATAGTGAAAATGTTTCCAAAAAATAAAACTTTTCTCATTATTTTTATTTGTTAAAGTTTTTTTCATGGAGAATATTTACGTTGATGCCTAATGGGTTTAATATTATTTTTACATGGTTCAAATATTTTACAAATGAATCATTTTAATTAAAGGTTGCAACAGTCATGAGGATGGACTTTTTGCCATGGTGGAGGTGATAGACACTGGGAGCTAGTGGGGGGAATGGAATCAGACCCCTGAGGGGGGGCCTTGGGGTCAGCCCAGTTCTCAAGAGAAAGGGGCAATAAACAGTTCTTGTTTGATCATGGTTTGTTTGTGATTTATCCAATAAGATGTAATTGGATAGAGTCACACAACCCCTTTTTTTTACTGTCGTTATGTGCAAACCAACCAGCTCCTCTCCAACCCTGATCAGCTGAAGACTCTAACCAAAGCAAGAGTTGTGAGGGAGACAATGTAAAAGAGACACTCATATGTCTTCAGCCTGACCTGATGCTTCATTACAAAAGCTTTGAGAGAGACAGCCAACATTACGTATCCTTAAGAATCTTGTAAAACTATGTTTGGCATGTTTTTAAAACTGCCTTTTAAACTACAGAGCTAATGATTCTATTTGTCTCTTCTAATGAAATTGCCACAGGCCACATTTCTCTCTCCTCACACACAGACAAGTATCAACAAGACCGACAACTGACTCTCATCACCTCACCTCACCTTTTTTGTCTTGTTTAGATCAAGAATCTGAACAGTGGTTTTTCCAAGCTGAAATCAATTGTCCCATTGATTCCAAAAGACCGGAAACCAAGTAAGGTGGACATGCTTAAAGCCACAGCTGACTACATTCGCCTGTTGCGCTTGATTCTGAAAGAAACGGGAGGGCTGCAGGTAGGCCTGAAACTGCTATCTTGCTAAGATACCATCCGCTGAACTCCCTGTCTGATCCTGCCCTGGGGAATAGGCAAAGACTCTCTTTTGCCAAATTCCAAGCGACGGAGACTCTTTTTCATATATGCACCTTTTTTTTTTTAATGTAGCTGAAAGTGCACTTTTTGCTGATTAAAAGCTTGAAATAAACATGATGACACAACAGTATCAAGCAGCAAAATCAGAGTGAAAGTGTGCCCAGTCAGCTTCCAGCCCTCCAACAACTCCCACCCCCAAGAACAGACTAATAGGAAGGGGAACTGTTAGATTGGGTAATGGAAAGGCATTGGTGGAAACCATTATAACAGTTGCTAGTATCTAACAGGAACAATCCGAGGCCCTGTGAATATGTGACTTTCCACCCCAAAACTGGACGTAACCCCTGTGACATTCCAAAAGTTGCTTCTGGATTATGTCAGGTAAAGCAAAAATGAGACCCAGATTGTTGGGGGCAAGAGCCTAACTCTATAAACCGTGTACAGAGGGCTGTAAAAAGCACTATGAAGTGGTATATAAGTCTAAAGGCTATTGCTATTGTTATTTTGTCAGCTGTGAGAATCCAGTGTTCAGCAGAGTGATGGCATGAGAGAAGAAACTGTCCCTTTAGTCTCATTGCCGTGGCATGCAATGCCCCGTTGCACTGCCCCCTGTCAGACTCCTGGGCTGCACCTGGAATTCTCTCTTCTTCCTCCTCCACCCTCCTTGGGCTGATCAGCAACAGCCCACCCAAGATAAGGAAATGGCATTTGGGACTGCACAGATTTAGAGGTTGGGAGCAACCGTCTCATTTCCCAAAGTAAATGGCGCCCCTCTGAAATGTTCAAATGGCATTTCCACACCAAGCCTGAATCTTGGAAGTCTGAATGCACTTCCCCCTCCTTCGCTTCATAAGAACGAGAGAGCATCTTTTCCGTGATACTCATGCTTTCTTCTCAGCTCCGGGCCCTCTTCTCTGCCCATCACCTTGGTGGCTGCTCTTCCTCCTGGCCCTCAAAGTCAGGTGGTCTTCCCTCTTGCAACGGTGTGCAGGAATGACCTTGGGAGCCAGCCAGGAGAAAGAGCTGCTGGCCGGACAACCAGTGTGTAAATCTGAGCTGTCACCCACCCACCCACCCACCCCGCTAGCAATCCTGAGCTGCTGAGAAAGGAACCGGCGGAAAGGCACCCTGGAGCTTCCCAGGGAGCATCTGCTAGCTCTTCCCTCTTGAGCTGGGAGTGGCCCTTCCAGCCAAGTGATCACCTTCCTGCTTTCCTTAGGGGGAAGAGGTTGCCAACGGTCCCCTTCCTGGGCCAGTGGCGGAGCCCTCAGAGAAGTGCTTACCAGGACGCATCCAATCCCAGCGGCCCAGCTGTTACATCAAGACCGAGAATGGCCTGGAGCTGGTGTGGACCAATCAGATGATGCAGGCCCCTGTGGGCACCTGGGGGGAGACCGTTCTGCCTGCTTACATGGGGATTGTAGAGCTTCACAAGAGTGAGTAAATTGGTAAGACTTCATCAGTGTTTTATCTCTAGATGGGTATGCAGAGAGTAACAGATTAGCAGAGTTGGAAGGGACTTTGCAGGTCATCTAGTCCAACCCCTTGCACAAGCAGGAGAGGAAAAGGTGTGTCCTATTGATTAGAGCTGTTAACTAGGTGAGCATGAGAACTAGTAACTTAGTTTTGCTCCATTAATTTTAGTGGTGCATTTTAATCTCTGCTTTTAGAGATGGCTTGGCACACCTTGTAAGCTGACAATAGTGTCCTGGACTTGACATCACTGGTTCTCCTGAAATATAAAGGCTCCTCCCCCCAGTCTTACAGATGATGGTCGGGTCCCTGACCACAACTAGGGCAGCCAGAAAGCCCCCCCCCATTTCTCATGACTGCAGCAGAGGAGGAGGGACCTTTAGGGATCCTCAAGTCTCTGATCACTAAACGGAGACCCTCTTTCCAGGCTGACTTTCTCCTTAGGCCCATTTCAGATGCTCAGCCCAGCCGTCAATGGACATCTCAGTTAGGCAGATGTCACAACTGTTTTCCTTTCAGTGACAAAGTAGGCAGCACGCTAGCCCAGGCATTGAAGCACCAGCCTAGTCTAGGGCTGGACACAGGATGGGGTGAGACCAAGGGCAGCCAGTTGGCATTCCTGGCCTCTCTTTGAGACCCTGTGGCAGGGGGGCATCTAAGTCCATCTTTGCCCAATGGGCACAGGTAGCAGGAGAACGGGCAGTGGTGGTACGTTGCTTTTCCTGTCCCTAATACCTTTATTTCCATTTATGTCTCTGAGGGGGGGGGGGTGCATCGGTTCGGAGATTCAACATTTTAACCTACCGGTTCTGTGGGTGTGGCTTGGTGGGCATGGCAAGGGAAGGATACTGCAAAATCCCCATTCCCTCCCAATCAGCTGGGACTCTGGAGGCAGGGCCAGCCAGAGGTGGTATTTACCGGTTCTCCAAACTACTCAAAATTTCCATTCCCAGTTCTCCAGAACTGATCAGAACCTGCTGAATCCCACCTCTGGTGTGCATGAATGTATTGAACGGGAGTGGGGATGTCAGCAGATCCAAAACTTTAAAATACTTGTAAGCAAAACCAGAACCATAAGAGGGGAACTTGTGACCCAGCAGGACGTTCCCTGCCAGTAGCCCCAGGCCCAGCCTCACCGGGCCCAGCCTCCTGAGCAGACAAGGGCCAAGAGGGTGTTCGGGAAACCTGCCTAGCCTGGACTGGAAGGCCAGAGCCTTCCCTTCTGCCCCTTCCCAACAATCATCTGCCTGGGATCAGAGGGCAACTCAAATTGGTCTTTATTACCGTAATTGCAAAGGAATGGTCCATAGAGTGCCAGGGCTGGGAGGCACTTTGCAGGCCTTCAACATCAAGGCCAGGACCAGCCCTCTGACCAGGGGACGAATCTTCAGCTCATCCCAGACAAAGACCGAGGGAGTAACAGCCCCTGTGCTCTGGAGAGCTCTCCTTATTTTGAGTACTGAGATCTTCCCTGTGACTTGTCCCACCGTCTGGCACCACAGAAAATCAATCCACATTCTCTCCCTCTGTGGCCTTTGAGAGCCTCCCTGACTGCAACCTCTCTGGGCTGCTATTCCCACAACTCCTGGGAACAGATTTCACGGCTTCACTACACACCGTGGGGAAAACTTACTATTTTTAGGGTGATCTTGAGATCCCAGATTGCGAGAAAGGGAGCAGAGCTTCTGTCAGCCTTTGCTGTCTCTTGACAGGCATGATTGTGATTGGCTGCCTTATGCCTCCCATCTGAACTCCAGGCCCAGTGCTGATGGGCTTTAAGGCAAACACCCCCCCCACCCCCACCCCCGTGATTTGGTTGTTCCTTTTTGCACCATCATTCTGAGCTCTTTCATATCCTTCTTAGGATGACCACGTGTGGCCTCAGGAGATTAGAATAAGGGCATTGTTTCCCAAGACCGGCTGTAGGGGAAATTACTCTTTGCCTTGTAGATTCTTTTGGCAATTTTTAATCCAAGGCTTTTAAAGTGCAAATTTAAACATAGTTTTGACAACTTTGTGATTTAAAAAAAAATCTGTGCTGCTACTTATATGGTCCCTCCTTTATAGATAAAATAAAACTATTTACTTTATTCCATATTTTTTCTATTTTTACCTATCGTATATTTTATTTTAGTTTGCTCTGTAGAGTGGCCAGAATTTTTGTGTGATAGCGAGCTGTATCCAAAAAGATTAACCCATATATGTAAATTGTCTTTCAGAGACCCATTTATGAATGAACAGAAGATCTCTTCATCACACTGAGCACTTTTTCTTCTCTCTCTTTTATTTTCTTCTTCATCAGCACTTCTTTGGTTTAAAAGTTAATTAAAGAGACACACTAAGTATTCTTGTTTTATATTTATAGAATCACTGCAAAAAAAATCACTGAGGCTGGAAAAGCCTTCAATTTACTGAAATACCTATGAGTTCATTCCCTCATATCTTAAGAGCCTTTAAGAAGTCTTTAAAAAGTCCCAACATCTGCTGCCCTCTTGTGTTTACTGGCTGGTTAATTTTTTGGGAGGCAACAAAGTTTACCCAAATATCCAGCTTCACTTAATTAGGACCTCACGGTTAGCAGCAAGTCAGTGATTAGGGCAGCAAAGCTTAACCCAGTAGCCTATTTTCTGCCAGTCTTATCACGAGCAATGGGGGGAAATGACCCCTAATACTCCTTCCTCCCCCTATTTCCCTCATCACAAACCTGTGAGGCGGGTTAGCCAGGAGGAGGAGATGCTGGCTGGTAGACTGAGAAAGTGTGACTGGCTCAGAGTCACCCCGTTGGCTTTCATGCCTAAGGCAATAAGCACTTAGACTTTTACAGCACTGAGTCAGCATATGGCCTCCAACAGTCTGGGTCCTCATTTTACTGACCCTGGAAGGATGGAATGTCAACAAGGCAGGACTAAGGCAGGTCTAGAACTCCCAATTCCTATGTTTCTAGCCTGGTGCCTTAGCCACTAAAACATGATGATGGCATTGAAGAATGCAATGCCCTTACTCTTGCTTCAAAAGCTAATTATTTTATTGCCCTCCAAATAATAAAATTGTAGAGTTGGAAAGGGGGCATTTAATGCAGGAATCCCAAATAGATGGCTGTCTACCCCCACCTGAACATTGGAGAGTCTGGAAATGTCTAGTTCTTCTGAGCTGCTGATCAGTGGTGGGATCATCTCGGTTTAACAACTGGTTTGGTGATTGCGCGATTTGCATGGACAGTTTGATGAAATCTTCTCTTCCGTGTTTCTTCGGAGGAACAATGCAGCTGAGTCACGTGGCAATCTGCTCTGCCACACAAGTCAGCAGAGAAGACAAAGGTAGGAAAATAGCGCAGGTGGGCGGGTGGGCCCATCTGATTATCAGAGCGACCGGTTCATCTGAACCAATCTGAACTGGTAGAATCCCACCCCTTGAGTGAAACTGGCCAGGATAGCCATGTTGGAGAACAAAAGCTGGCCGAAAGAGAGACGACCCTGGAGGATGGGATCCTGAGAACTGAAAAGCCCTGGGATGCCAGCTTTCGAGCATCGGCCTTTCCTTGCTGGTTCCCGCTGGAAGTGCACAAATAGCAGGAGACGTTTGCAACAGGGCCTGTTTGGGCAGAGCACTCTGACTTCTCAAATGTATTTAATGTTGCAGGTATATTATTAGAAATACCAATTTGCAAATGAATTGTCTCCTGAGTTCCTTTCTGGAAATTTTAAAAAAGTAAACCAGTCCATAAATTTTATTGAATAGCTACCTGAATAGTACCTGAAATGTTCTGAAGGAGCTGGCAGATATAATCTCAGAACCACTGAATGAAATCTTTAGGCGCTCCTGGAGCACGGGAGCGGGGAATGCCAGAGAACTGGAAAAGAGCTGAATGGATCCAGGACATTGCAGACTCCAGAAGTTGTGGATGCTCCATGACTGGCTTTTCAAAAAGAGATTAGACAGCCAGAATATGTCCGGAATGGTCGTCTGCTCGAGCAGGAGGTTGGACTAGAAGACCTCCAAGATCCCTTGTTGTTATTAGCCCTGCAGACCAGAAGGAAAATGTTAAATGCAAATGCCGCTACTGCCACCTACTGGTCATGTAAGGGAAAATAATAAAGACCTTGAAGCTGATTCATATTAGAGCAGTATTTCAAAATTACTTAAACTAATATGAAGGTTTAAATTGAATGAATTCTTATTTTTTGACATTATTGATCTTTTCAAAAGATGTTTTACCCCAAAAATTAAAAGGTAAACATAAGAAAAGCTAAAAGAATATTGAAAGGGAAGCAATATATTTAGAAGGAAGCCTAAAACTTTGCTCATTCATAATAGGAGGGAATGAATATTCAGGAAACAAAATTGATCAGTTTCTGAAGTAATACTCTGAAATGTGGGCTAACAATTCCATCTTCCCAAAAACAAAAGGGGGGCTGAAAGGGAAAATAATTGTATTGCAAGTGTGTGTGGGTGTGACTTTTTTTACTCTCAGCTGAGATACATTTTTTTTCCTTTTAAGCTGAGATTTTGTTTCACTTTAGACATTTTAGTCATCTGTCATTTTCAATACATGCTTCAATTACAACCTATGATATCAAGAGAGCAACATCAGATGAGCTACAGGAGGGATTAAAAAGAGAATTCGAGCTCCTTGAAGGAAGAGCCGGAAAGGCACACAGAGTCCCAGCCCGACACCTGAGCGGGGTCGAGCGGTACAAGCGGAGGCCACTGAGCGGCATGGAAAGGGAGCCAGGCGGCCACAGACCAGCGGCCTCTCGGTCTGACGGCCTCGGCCGAATCTCTGCTCCCCACGGCCCACCTCAGCGGCTCCGCGAGTCGACTCCTCTGCCGCTCCACCGCCCGCAGGCTTCCCCAGTCCTCTGCCAGCCGGGCTTTCTGCGGGTCACAGCCGGGCAGGGCCCGCCGCTGCTTTCCCCCCGCCTGGCGAGACGGGGCACTTGACCAACCCGGCTGCCTCGTGCCGAGAACCGCGTCGCTCCGCCACGCGAGTCTTGGCGAGCCCGGCACGCGTGGCCGACCCGGAGTGCTCCCGGCCCGTCCCCTGGCGAGACAAAGCAGCGGCCGCTCCCCGGCCAAGCCCCTGAGAGCCTCGGGCTGGGAACGCGCGGCCTCCGCCGGCCCGCAAGGGCTCGTCCTCGCCGGGAGCCGCAGGCCGAGCAGGTGCGCCTAGCGGGGCTTTGGCGGACGAGCAGCCGGTGAGGGCGGAGGGGGCTGGGCTGACTGCGCAGGTGACTCCGTGGCCGCCGTCAAAGCGAGGCCGAGCCGCCCCTCTTCGCTCGCTCCGTCGGCTGCGCGGGTCCCTTGGGCTGTGGGCGTCGCCGCTTCTCCCTGCGGCGGCTCGGCTCG